CTGAAAACTGAATATGTTTACTCTCTGCAGTATTTTTAGGGGCACAGTGCTAATTACTAACATCCACAATGCTTGGTGATGCTTGTTCATACTTGAATAACACGTTGCCAGCTTAGGTAGAAACACAACACTGTGTTGACAGTCTGCGTCACGGACATGCAAGTACATATTGCGACTTGTCTCCAAGAGCACTTGAAGGTGCAGATCACAAAAACAGAAAGAGAAACACAATATGGAGATGTTAACAAGCCATTTTCTCTCCACTTCTGGTTGCAGAGATGGAGGCCAATCAGAAAAAGGCAGAATGGCCAATCAGAAACAGTAGCCTTGGAAATAGCCAATTAGGCCTGTTTGTCTGTGAGGACAAAGGAAGCGATATTGCAGAGTGATTGCGCCAGCGCTGAGCTACACAAACACGCTCAAATGACACCTTGCTTGTTGCCTTCCAACCCTAATTTCACAGGAGTGCGAGATCTTGATTGCATCTGTGCTGGCGAGAGAGGACGTCTCATTATTACACCAAAACAATCGCCACCTCAGAGGCAAAAAACAGAGATTTTGTTTTCATTAGGGAGCTATTGAGTCACCGGCTCTCGAGTCAAGGCCATCAGATGCACACGCACTCACACACATGTACATGCACCGAGGGTGTAGTCTGGCAATTTTACTCAAAAGATTTGTACCTTACTCCAGTCCACTTAATGAAGCTGTAAATTTAGAGACGTGAGGGCCTTTACAGTGCTCCTTTGAGAGCTGCTACAATGATCCTGGGACTGAGCTGGTTAATTAACTGATTGTTTGCTTGGCTTGGAGCCACAGAGAAAATGGGTGGATGTGGAGCGAGACAAGGAGATGAAAAGAGGGTGCATGAGGGGAGAGGATGGAAAAGAATGGCTGTGAAAGGGAGAAGAGAGCACAGAAGTGGTCAGGGGGCAGTAAGAGAGAATCAAAGAATAGAACAGAAAACGGGGGGAGAGGATAGAAAAGCACAGGAAACAAGCTTCAAGGGCAGCATCTCATATTTCAACTAACATGTGGATGCTGAACAGATAAGCGCCTTGAGGCGACTTTTGTTGTGATTTGGCGCTATATAAATAAAATTGAATTGAATTGAATTGAATAACTGTCTTTTGTGCTTGCGATTGCTAATTGAAGGTACAGCTGAGGCTGAGAGAAACAACATTAATACAAATGTCTGTACCAAATTTCATGGCTGTGAATCATTTTACATTTCAATTTCATGGTGATGCTATGGGAAAAACTGGGGGATCACCAAAGTTAGGAGGGCTTACTACCAGACACCAAAAACACACGTCTGACCTCGGAAACATGTGATCCTCTTTGAAACGTTGCCTGTAGGCAAAGGTTGGGTGTTTCAAACAAGGACCTTTTCTAAAAAATTAAAAATAAATAAAATAATATTATTCATTCCAAAAAACAGACCTTCAGCGGGAGATGCTAGTATTACCTCCTTTATCAGAAGTAACTTCTTGGGTGTTTTGAGACTGAAATCTTTAAAGACGAGAACTTCTCTATAAATGAAAACTTTAAAATCATAAAAACTGGACACCCAGAAGTCCCATGTCCGTGACCTGATGGTTCAGAGCTTTTATAGTGACCTAACCTTAGATGGTTCCAGTGTTATGGCGGTTTTATTGTTGTTTGCTGGCGAGCTGTTCTTTCCAGACAGCACTCTCTTTCTAATCGTGGATATATGCATGAAGTGTCACATAAACAGTTAAAAGACCTGCAGACCCTATGTCATCATTTCTTGGTTCTTCAAGACTTTTATTTTTTTACATGAACATGTTGTGCTCAATAGCTATCTGTAACAAACCCACGACAGACCTGACCACATCTCACCACTTTTGAGCATTGTTTCTTTATTACGGTTGCTTGTTTACATGCGGCTCAGGACCCAGTTTAGCTGGCGAGGAGTGATTGCAGATGTCACTCAGGTGCGTCCCCCTCCCCCTGGACGAACCTACCCCGTCAGAATCAAACCAGACCGTCGGCATCCCCAGCCCATGGCCCAGTGGTGGGGATGTGTTGGTTCTGGGGGTTGGCCACTTGTACCGCAGTGACGATGATGCTGGTCTGCAGGCCGCAGTGGCGTAGCAGTCGAGCCCATGATCCGAGGCTCCCAGGCGGCTTGGTAAGCGGCCCGCGGACAGGACCACACACCGGCCTCACTTCCACCTGAGGCTGGTGCGCTGTGTGGTCGGTCCGGTCCCACAGTTCTCCCCATTGGTGGCGTGCCTCCGCTGCCTGCTCCTTCTGCGTGGCCGCAAGCTCAGCCACCATTTGGGCCAGCGCCTTCCCTGGCTGGCCCGGTCCTGGGTCTGCCGTTCCCCCATACTGGGTTTTGGCACCAGTGTAGCAAACCCACGACAGACCCAACCACAGCTCACTGCTTTTCAGCATACTTTCTTTATTACCGTTGCTTGTTTACAAGCGGCTGCAGCATTTCAGCCACCAGCACACACCACCAACAACAAAGCTCAACAACAAAACCGGTGTTCTGACAAAACGTCCTACTTTGTCAAAACATCCTACCGTAGCGTAAATTTATAGTCGTGTCTATCAATCCATGCGATCTTATCAGAATATACTACCTTACTTAGTGGATGCCATCATCATACATATCTATAGGTAGGATGTTCTGATGGCCAAATCACACTATCAAAACATGCTTCCAACACACATTCATCTAATGTTAACACAGAATACAAGGAGAAATGGGATCCATTATGTAAGATGCAACGCACATACAGTAAATAAAATGACCAATGTCAAGGTTCTTACAAATTAAACAATGTTATCACTCAGTTAACAAGTATGTAGTGCAATATTACTTTCTTTAACATAACAACGGAGCGTGGTGTCCACTAACTTCAGGAGGACTAAAATTAATTGACAAGGTTTACGCTGTACGCCAGTTAACGGATGTTTATGAGTACTAAATCAAGACTTGAAATATGACTTTAATTGAGACACCAAATTGGAGTATCTTTGTACAAAAAAACAAAACGCATGTTAGCTTGAAAAGTTAACAAATTGACAACAGCTTAAGGAAAAAAGTATCAACTGTAATAAAGAAGTAAAACATATAATACTAACCCTTTTTCGCAAGCACAAGATCGGGGTAGGATCAAATAATATGCGTGTACTATTCACACCGAAAACACACCGTTTTGAGTTGTGCGCATGCGCAGTAACAACATGTAGGACAGTTTTGTCAGAACGCCGGCAAGGCGTGATTGCAGATGCTGCTCAGCTGCGGCGCCGACCACGCCCTGCCACACTATCCTAAAAAAATATGCAGTTATTTGGAAACAATGGAATTCTTACAATGAAATGGGCCACTTGTGGAGAACCTTATATATACCACACCAGACTCAGAGGCATCCTTCATCATTTTTGATGGGTGAGCTCTTTAATCTTAGATTGATGGCACCGCACGCTTAGATAACAAAAAGAAAAGCAAACCTGAGATGTCAGAGATTTAAATCTGATATACAGGACAAACTTGCCCCTGCCTTGGGAAGTCAATAATCATCATCTAATCACCCAATTACCTCCGCACAGGTAATGGATAAATTCTGATAAAACGATGTACTTTGTCACAAACTATATTTACATCTGCACCATGAGCACATCACAGATTTAAGGTGTAATGTTAACAATCCATTCAAATTTGGCTTCAAGGTCAGGGTTTAATGATTTATAGATCGAGAATTGACAAAAAGCCTGATTCATACAAGCATGATGTGTATTGCTAACATGTACCAAAAACCTATAAATAGAAAATAATTAAAGGTAGTCAAGAAAAAGCGAATGAGTTGCCTAGTTAGACATACACCTACATACTGTTTGTATAATCAAAGTAAATATGTGTCATGCTACTCTAATCTGATTTTTACTGCACTACAAACTTCCTTAAGTATGTTTTAAACGAACAAAGAAAACAAAATCAGTATAAAGAAAATACAATACTGTTCCATCCATCCAGCCATTCATCCATTCTCCTCCACTTACCCTTATCAGGATCACAGGGCAATACAATTACCTTCAAAGTAAATACTGCCCACAGAGCAACCTGCATTTGCTTTACAAATCTTGTTTACCTTGATTCTAGTTCAGTGAATTTAAAGAGGTGGGATACATGTAGGAGAGTGTTGTTTGAGTACATCATCTTCTTTTTGTAGGCCCTCTTTCAATGCTTCAGTGCTTCTCTGACTGTGCTACTGAAAAGTTGTACTTGTTACTTGTTAAATTAAAACTCAGCATCACTGTACATGAAATAATTCATCTTCTGGGAACCAAGAATTTCACAGTGATCCAATACTTATTCAAATTGTTGAGATATTTCAGTCCAGACCAGTATGACTGATCACCATGTGTATTGATAAAGTCAGCCCAGGCCATGTGTGCAGAAGATAGATGAGTGTTTACTGCACCCTGGCTTTGAGCCACCACTGGTTGCAATATAAACATTGCAGCTGAGAGGCATGGCACTTAGTCAGACTTCAGTTTTTCTTTGTCTGAGATAAAAGTTTAAATTATCCCCTTCCTCCAGTTTCTAAGAGAAATGACAGCAAGTAGGTATTTTTCTTAGAAACACTTATATGAGAGCAATTTCAATGCAAGCACTTGCAATTTACAGAAACATCTACTACCTGTAGCTGAGAAAAGTTCAGATCTTTTTTAGTGTTTTTGTCAGTCAGCTGTCAAACTGTCACTGTTCTGCTTAAACTCCCATCTCTGTCAATCTGGCAAATGCTCTTTTCTTATAGAAAACTAACAAACTAATAGATGTGTTTAAAGGTCACGCCGCTGCTATCCTCTGCAAAGTCTGAAGCCACAGTTGTGTCTTTATCGTACCCTGATTCTTTGTCATCAACTCTTGTAGTTTGAAAAAAAAAAGCATGAGTTTAAACTTATATAATCTAGAAGTCACATCGTATCCCCAGAGTAGAAAACATAGACAGAAACACAGGTTCAAGTTGGCACGATCACCATAGTTTATTAATTAACACAAATATTGTTCCGAGGTCTCCATTGTAACTGTTAAAGATGAGAGTTAGATCTTCTTGCTGATTCTCTTCAGCACTACAGAGCCGGCTTTGGAGGTCTGCAGAAAGACAGGAAATGACTTCAATTAGCTTTTGCAGTGCTTCTTTACATCTGGTTTTATGCTGTAAAAATTTTTTTTTGAAGTGTCAGACAAATGAAAAAATACCACTGTAACAGTAACTTTATACTTGTCCGCTTCTGACCAACCCTGACAGCTGAAAACTGCAGACTTTAGCAAATTAAGTAATTATAAATTAAGCAATTGTGTCAGTCAGCTGAAACAGTCTTCATTTTGAATTTTCCACTGTGTTTGGCTTCCTTTTAACTGGATACATTTTTGCTGTTTTTCTCAAAATGAAAGTGTGAAGTGTTGAAAATTTCTGAAAAGCAGACTATAAAATGGAAACCAAAAAGAGATAACCTGCAAAGAGAGAAGTGTCTCGTATAAATTCTCAGGATTAAAAGGTTAAATATGGGAATGAATTGGTTGTTAAAGTGCATTCAGTAGCAATACTCTGTGTTTCAGAGAGTTTTTTTCTTATTAGCTGTTCCTGGTCTCCAGCTGCAGAAGTATAACTTTGATGACTCTAATGATCCCTGCGGGGAGTTGAGTGTAATAACTGCTGTCACTGCCCAACGTTCGCACCTCTAAAAGCCTAAGTGAGTGTGTTTACCTCGATGAGTTTGCCACCACTGATCTCAGAGGTGTGGTGGTAGTTGGGGAAGGTCACACTTAGCTTGCCTCCTTCCATTTGTACTGTAGCCTGTAAACAAAATTGTGATATAACCAGTTAGGAGAGTAGCATTCATAGCTTTATGCTTCTGCTAGCTATAGCTAAAGTGAAGCTTTGGATCATTTCCTCCCAACCTTGAATTTCTTTCCTCCAATGGTCTCCATGTCGGCCTCCTTTCCGATAGTGAACTTGTTGGTGACCTTGGCATTGGCAGGATATAAGAGGGTCCAGGTGAAATCTTTGCCATCCTGGGTGACCTCTGTGATCAACTTGTAGTCACGGCCCCTCTCGATGACATCATCTGGAATGCCTATAGTGGGACGGGAAGAGGATGCAAGGTCAAAAAAGGCCAAAGATGTGCAGAAAACAATGGAGTTCAGAAGCAGAGGAAGTGGAAAATTTGAGCCTGCGTTCTCACCTAGCACCTTGCAGAAGGCGTCGTATCCCTCCTGGGTCTCGGTTTCCCATCTTCCAGCGAATGCCATTTTGGTAATGTTGAGGGTAGAGGAGTGAGATCAGAGATGCTGAGGCAAGCTGAGGAAAGAGCAAGGTACTGAGACCAAGAATATTCCCCGTTTATATACTTTAGATCTCTTGCCACCTCCTTCATTTGCATGTGATGACACAAGAGAGCAATTACAACTGAATAGGATGAGTTCAACAGGCTACGAGGGAGAGGCCAATAAAAAGCATAAACAGGTGTTCATGGAGTTCACAGGCAGGGAGTAAAACGCTGACTGCTCTCTGGGTGAGCTGCAAGCTCACCTCTAGGTCAGTGAACTCACCTGCAATGGCTTTACGGACATACCCTCCACTTTTACTGCTGCTGATTCGAAAAGTAAATAAAAAGACAATAAAGGCTCCATTTCAAGATACGATCCATCTTTTTCAGAGTACACTGTTATGTCCAAAATGGAAACTGTCTGGGGTGTAATCAGGTCATCATTTACCTATAAAAAGGCTATAATCATTGTCTGGCACCGGGAAGGCTCGAGATGATCTAATGTAATTGGAGCCATTTCACTATTTTAAAGGTGTCATTTTTACAGAGTCATCGCATTAGTATAAAGTCTGAAGACATTAAGACAGAATTTTACACACAATCAATTATAACATCTTGCATGTAAATTCAAATGCTTTATACTGTAATCCTTTCATCTAGCAGATGAGCTCCTTTACCAAATGTAAAATGTATCAGCACATTTCCTCAGTTCCTTTCTTTGTAATTCAGACCCAAACCCAGGGCTACCAAAGTACAGACAAAACACGCAATAAACACAGTTAATGATGTAGTTATTAACCTGTTCTTGTGAATAAAACCTAGTCACCAAGTATAGCATCTTGACTTAAAGGTAAGATTTGAATCATCTTGTGTTAATAAGGAAGCTGTACAGTATGGAAGCTAATTTCCATGTAGTTATCAAATACTTTTGTGTAAATAAGTGCATTTAATTTGTTTTTATTTTTTTGATGAATTATTGATAAATATGTGATGCATCTTTGCTTTTTTGGATAAGAAAAACAAAAAGAAAAACATATTTAGTCATAAAAATGTCATCTCGTTGTCAGTGTAGGATGTGACTTAATCTCATTATAGGAGATATGTTGATTTATTAGTGGAATATTACTCCATATAGATGACTGAAAGGCTTCTGACAGATGTGTGACAGCAAAACAGATGAAAGCAGTAAACCAGTGACAAAAAACACTTCCTGAATCTTTCTTAAAGAAAAAAAAGTACATAGCCACAGTGCTAACACAATTACAGTAAAGTGTTGATTATGCTGTTGGTGGCTGAAAATTGTCCATTATGGTGACTATATGACTGAAGCACACTGGGCTTTCAGTTCTGACAAACTGAATAGGTAAAAGCTTTTGACGCTGCACTTTGATCTCACACAATGCAGCCATTTCCACAGATCGCTGATAGCGTTTTTTAAACCATGAAAAGTCAACTTGGCCTTGGAGCTCTTTATAGATACATAAAACATCATATTGGCCAACATCCTATAAAAGACACCCACTATCTCTTTCTTTTATTTCACTGTCACTCTCTGCCCTTTCTCACACACACACACACACACACACACACACACACACACACACACACACACACACACACACACACACACACACACACACACACACACACACACACACACACTAATCAGTGTGCAAAAGCAGATCAAATCCAGATAAAAAAAAAGGGAAAACACACACGTGTCGATATTTGTCATGAGAATTTAACCTGCTGAATCTTTATCATTACAAATGCATATTTATAAGTGAATAGTCATCATAAATGTATAACATCATTACACACTTTAAACACACTGAAGAGGAGGCATGATCGAGAGCTTGCTTTGACTTATAAGTGTGACATTAGAAAGAAAAAAAATATGAGTTCAGGAAACGGAGAAAGTGGCAGTTCAGTCCCTCCCTGCCCGATTGCACTAATCTGCACCCTAAGCACTGCACAATGGGACTGCACTCCATGGTCTTTGATAGGCGTTTTAATAGCCTACAATACACTTGAATTCGGGGTTTTAGTATCAGTGTGGAAGATTTTACAATATAGAATATATGGCTTGGTCATAAGCTGAACATGTACCACCATGTAACACTGTGTAAGTGCTGGTGTGGATCCAGTTCTACCCTGGTGCTTTCTGAGAACCAGCTCAAGTCTTTAAGAACCAACTATTAAGAAATATGTCTGTGTAGGTTCTCAGTCATCAAGGTCATGGTAGTCTATGGAGCTTGGAAAGAAAGCAACTGGACTTCTTTAGTAAGTTTCACCTCTCGCCGAAGAGGCTTCTTCAGTTCTAAAACCAAACGGTGAAGAGTCCCGGGGACTCTACCAATTGCTGGGATTCTCCACCATTTAGTTTTAGAACTGAAGAAGCCTCTTGGATGAGAGGTGAAACGTCTTCATGAAACTGTCGCTCTTTAGACAACTATTAAGAAACAAAGAAAATCACGATGAGTTTCTCTACTTTAGCCCCTCTAATAGCCACTAGCAAGAATGGTTCCAACTTTGGTAAAGTAGTTTTTTTGGTGGCGCACTGGTGATGGAAATGTGTGTAAATAGTTCCAGATTGAGAACCAGCAGCACGTTGGTGGAAAAGGACTAGAAATCTGTGAGAAGTTGTTAAGTTCTCTGATTTTGGATAACTGCTATCAGATCAAAGTCTCTGGATTTTCTTTGGATTTAAATTCACACACAAAAATTCAAATAAAGAAATAAACCATCACGATGTTCACATTATTATACTGAATACATTACATGGTGTAGCATTAGATATAGCCATTTATTATCTGCAGACGCCATGCTAGACACATAAATCTTAAATATATTTTTGAGTCATCGCAGTGATTCAGTGTGGCGAGCAGTGAGAAACTGCAATGTCAGGTACTAATTTTTCCTGCCACTAAAATCTGATGTTATGCAGAACATGCCAGACAAAACAAAGATTTCAGCCGGTTTCTGCCCGTCTGTCTCGAGGTCAAACTTATTCTCAATTCACAGTGAATAGTGAGCAAAGTGCACTTGTCTCTCGAGTTTATTGTCGGTGTTGCAATTGTGTTGGTTACATTTTAATAGTTGGCTGTAATTTCAACTTTTGCCTAAACTTTTTTTTCCACTCTCCTCCCTAATTCCCCCAAGTGCGATTCCAACTAGATAATAAGTAACTAGGATTACTGGCCATTACGTTATTATGTCCAATCACATGTCGATGAAGTCATGCTTTACTTTTTCCCTCTCCTCTTGTCTTATGAAAGGCATCTTTCGATATACACAAGAAAGGGGCACATATAAAGGCGACTTAAAGGAAATGATGAATACTAAATGCAAGAAGAGAAAAAAACAAGGATATGAACAAATGAACAAGTAGTTAATGAAGAACAAGAAGGGGGAGGGGAGGAAAGGAAGAAAAGATTCTAAAGAAAGATACATATAGATAGATTCCTTTTATCTACAGCTCTAAAGAGGGGATTTGCGATGGAGGAATTAAAGGAGGGGAGGCCTTGATATGCAAATGAAGCCCCTGCTAATCAAAGCAATAAGATTAGCCTTCCAAATTGAGATGAAGAAAGGCTCCATTATCTGGGCCGAGTGTCATGTTTAATAACGCGGAACGGCATGGTAATTCACTAGTGATGCAACTGGAGCCTATGTGCGTGAGTGTGTGCGTTTATGTGTAATGCGAGTAAAGTGGCGGTCTGCAATTGTTCGATGTGAAAATAGGAAAAATAGACAAAGATGGTTATATAGATATATATGCATATATATATATATATATAGAGAGAGAGAGAATTAAACTTTTGAAAGACAATTCATGAACTTGTCTGCATGTCATCCAGTGTGAGATGAATAGGAAGAGTAAATGCGGCAGGCATGAGAGGAGAAAGTGTGTGAGTGCGTGCGTGTGCTTGGCTTTGATGCTAAAGTTTTGTGCTATGTTGTACAGGGAAAAGAAAACTCTGTGAAAAATGCTTCTGTAGAGGAACACTGGTGTATGCTCACACATTATCAGATAACACTGAGCCACGTGGTTTGATCAGGTACACATTTACTCAAAGAAGGAGTGCAACGCTTTACCCAGAATCCCATCCCAATGTACACACTGCCAAAATAATGTCTGCTTTCTCAAACCACAGTGTGACTATAGCATAAGGTTTGCTCACTGCTGCAGCAGGAGGAATATTTGGTTATAAAATGCACATAAACAAAAATGTGAGATGTGTTTTGCAGTTACCAACCAGCAGTCTCTAACTAGTAGAGCATGTGGAAGCTTACAAGCTCTCCCAGGAGTTGGTGAAAATCAAAACAGCCCAATTGGAGAGGGAATATTGAGTTGATAGATGTGCAAATAGGATGCTGTTTGTATGATATCACATGGTAACATGTCAATATGGTATTTACACAATAAACAAGAAGCGCTGTGAGAGTGCAAAACTCCACCAATGCAGCTCACTCTCTGGGCAGTACTTGGACTGAAACCCATTTTATTATACATGAAATAATCTTGAATATTTTTTTAAATGTGTACATGGTGTAGTACATGTGGAGCATTGATTTCATCTTTTAGTTCAATTCGTCCAAATGTTTAGTGATTATAACTCGTGTTCAGGTTATCGAGGAACATTTCACACGTGTTCAAATTGTTATTTATTTAAATGGTTATAACCTGGCACTGTACTGCACTCTACAGCCCTACAAAGTTTTATCAGAATTTATGCAAAACTTTTTGAGATGTCGTGTCGTGTCGTGCAAAAACATGACCGAATTTATGTTACAGTGGGGCAAAAAAGTATTTAGTCAGCCACCGATTGTGCAAGTTCCCCCACTTAAAATGATGACAGAGGTCAGTAATTTGCACCAGAGGTACACTTCAACTGTGAGAGACAGAATGTGAAAAAAAAATCCATGAATTCACATGGTAGGATTTGTAAAGAATTTATTCGTAAATCAGGGTGGAAAATAAGTATTTGGTCACCTCAAACAAGGAAAATCTCTGGCTCTCACAGACCTG